AGAGGTATATTATGAAAAAACAAGATGGTGAATTTATATTGGGACTTTACTTGATGTACTATTCCAAAAGTTTTCGGAGGGTGATTAATGATATTATGATAAGAGACACTATGTAGGAGCTCCACGATCTGGGGGTTTAAGACATTGGAAAATCAGGTCCGTGCCAGGATATAAACGATCTGCAATTTCTAGATTGCTTTTGTATTCCCATTATGTGCTAGTTCTACCCAAAAATATGTAATATATCTTCTTGATATGTTCGGTTGCTTGGTTGCAGGTAGAAATTGTTGAGCCTGCAGTAAAAGGCACACTTAATGTTCTGAAGGCAAGTTCTGAAGCAAACATCAAGAGGGTTGTTTATGTATCTTCTAATTCTGCTCTTGACTACAACCCCAACTGGCCAAAGGACCAAGTGAAAGACGAGACTTGTTGGTCGGACAGTGAATACTGCAAAGCAACTAATGTAACTTCTTTTACTGATGCAAGTTAATTTTCGAATTTGATTTTCTGGGGACATTATAAGTTTTTTTAATTGAATAATCACATATTTCTTTTATGATCGGTAATAATCAACATACTTCTTACATACAGTATTTAGTGTTGGTAAAGTAATTTATGATTTGAATCTTGAATGCTTATTTAGCTAGAGCAGTTTCCTGTCTTATTTGCTTAGTTTTTGAAAGGTAATTTCAGATTTGAATCTTAAATGCTTATTTTGCTAGAGCAGTTCCCTATCTGATTGAATTTTTTGGTTCCATCTTCATGCAGAACTGGTATAGTTGTTCCAAAACGATGGCTGAGACAGAAGCTTGGTCATATGCAAAACAAAGTGGACTTGATCTTGTAACTGTGCTCCCAACAATTGTATGGGGACCAATGTTGCAGAAGACAACAAATGCCAGTAGTTTAATTCTCATTAAGCTGCTGAAAGGTACCAACAAGGCATAGTTAATACCTTAGTGTGTGGATGTATCTGCATTATTTTTTCTATTTCTACATCTCTGGTTGCATGAATAGGTCGCTGCTGAATAATCAGAATTCACTTTCCCAAAATCCTTTTTAAATTTGTTTTTATGAACATGGGCATACGTTTAGTATGCAGTATTTGTCAAATTCTTTGCTAATGCTTAAAATGCCAGAATGATTTATATGTGCAACTATAACAAGTCTTGCTGTATTTTGGTTCTCCCAAATACTTCTTGCTTAACTATGAGTAAGAGATTATTGAAAGCAAAGAAAATGCTTAGCATCTTTGAGGCATATTATCTAAGCTGGAAGTGGAGATTTCTATAGTATTATTTCTCCATGTAGATGGGTTAGCTGAATTGCTTTGCAGCTGTGGCACATCTACCTCAGCATGAGATTTATGAGACTCTGGGTAGGTTTATTGTAGGTTTTTATGCTTAATGTGTTGGTTGATGGCGGCTAGGAGTTTTTGTCCATAACATTTAAAGAAAGTAAGAAACTAGTTATTTTCAATTCAGCGTACTAATTATTGAGTTCTTCCTTATGTATGCATTCAACTTATACCCTCTGATGTTTTGGACAACTGTGGGAGTCTTTCATGCTTCAGTTACCAAATTTGGATCCAGTATCCTCCCTTTGACCAATTTATTTTTTTCATAATTATGTAATATGATAGATAAACTGTGTCACTTCTCCATTTGCCAGAGGCGGAGCCAAAATTTGAAGTTTATAGGTTCTGAATTTTCCATGGAATCCATAGCTCGTCTTTGTTATTGGTTCGCAATTGAATATTTATACATATTTAATGAATTTCTTAGAAAATACAGTGTCTAAGCAAAAGTGACTGGGTTCGGCCGAACCCGCACCTAGTAGTCTCGCTCCGCCCCTGCCATTTGCCCTTCATGTATATTGCACAAGTAAATTTTTTTATTATGTGTAGAATAAAAAATAAAGAAATATGAGAGAATAAGTAAAGTTTTGTGCTGTATTTGTCATTTGATAATGTTTAGTAGGCCGGTTGGTCATGATATAGTCTTGTTTACAAGCATTGCTTGGTCTATGTTCTCATCCTTCTCTAATGGTCTAAGCATTGCTTTAGCCATGAAGTCTGGAGTATATTGCTTGGTTAGATAAAAGACATCCCAGCTACTATGCAACAAATAGCTACTAAACGTTGACTTTAATGATAGTAAATGTTAATTTCCTTGTAAGCAAACAAATTGACCTAATAATCATGGAAATTATGGGTAACTGATTGAGAATCTTGGAATATACATTTTCTGAAACATACAAACTTCCACCTATAGGGATATACCGCAACCCCTCTATACCTACTTCTTCTGTTGTAACATTAAACCTAAAGGGAACACAAGCGCTTAAAAATTCTGTCCGCTTAGTTTTGCAATACTTTGCGTTTTCTTATGTTGATGGCTTCATGTGTTGTTTCTGTGCTTTCATTCATATGGATTCGTGGTCATGGTTCTCTCATTTTTTCACTTGAAGTGACTGACCTCCCTCTCTTCACTCTTGTGTCGTTCATGTAGAAGGATATGAAGAGCTGGAAAACAAGACCCGGTTTATTATAGATGTACGTGATTTAGTTGAAGCGCTGGTGCTGGTTTATGAGAAACCTGAGGCTGAAGGTAGACACATATGCATGGCTCATAAAGCAAAATCACAGGATTTGGTTGACATGCTGAAGAGACACTACCCCAACTACAAGTATCCTAAACGGTGAATTTCTCTTCATTCTACCTTAGGCTTGGAATGTAGTGTCCTATTTACTGTGACTGGTTTAATGAAATCGGACTCCTCTTATGAGATTTTGATTTCGTGTTTCCAGTGTGTGTTGTTAAGAAGTAACAAACAAAATGCATTATGAATATGGTCTATTTGATTGGTTCTGTTGATAAGTGTTCTTGTTTTCCTTCTACATAGAAGTTCCTCATTTATCTGAATCTGTTGTCCTAAAAATACTGTTTATTTTACAGCTTTACCAATGTGATGGAGGAAGGAGGTTATAGCACAGAGAAACTGCAGAAGTTGGGTTGGAAATGTAGGCCACTGGAGGAAACTCTAATTGATGCTGTTGAAAGTTATAAACAAGCGGGCATTCTTGATTGAAGAAGAGAAAATATCAAGTCCACCTTTTTACTTGTTGTAATATTCATTGTGGTACTTGCCCTGCCTGTCTTTCAAGATTATCTATATGTAATAATATAATCTGGATTGAGGAGGTTATATTTTACTCCTTTTTGAGTGCTATTTCTTTGTTTTTTTGTTGTTATTGTTGTTGTTTTATTTGCTCTCACTTGGGTTATTGCAGAGGCGGAGTTAATATTTGAAACTTATGAGTTCAAGATTTCAATTCTTTTAAATTATTGGGTTCTAAATTACTAATTTATGTATATTTAATGAATTTCCTAAATTAAATATAAGGTTTGAATCAAAGTTATTGAGTCAAGCTGAACCCCGGCGGGTTATTCATTTGCACTCATGGAACACTGATATCCATGAGGTTTACGTTGGAGTATCTAGAGCTTATTGAGAAAGTAGCCTTAAAAATAAGCTTTTTATGGGAAATATAGAAGTTTATATAAGCTTTTGGACAATTTGATATAAACATATCCGAGAAGCACCTAGTAATCAGGGGCGGATTTAGGGGGCAAAGGTGTTCACCCGAACACCCTTCGCCGAAAAATTATACTGTATATATAAGGCAAATTCTGTTTTTTATTTCTATATATTAAGTTTTGAACACCCTTGACACAATTTGAAAGTGTAGTTTAGTGGTCAAGGAAGTCCAAAATCTACATATATGTTTAATAAGCTAATTGTCAAGAACATGAAAATCAAGACAAATTTAAGAACCTTCCTTAAAGAATATTTGTACGATATACATACAAATGTTTATGTGTGTGTGATTGAAACCAAGTTCTAAAGTTGTCATAAATTCTCATAAATATTACTCCATCAAACAATTGCTTATCTAAATTATGCAATCTTTTTACTGTTCGGTTTGATCCTAATTTATTTCGATTGACATGGTAAATTGAGTTTGAAAGATTCAAGTAATAAAGTGCCATAGTTGGCATAGTAGTATATAAAAGGGGTACAAGTGGGGAAGTCTTGAAACAAAAATCACAATTATTTGGATTAATAAAGAAAGTATGAATGATGCTAAGGATATGATGGGATTGATGAGAGTTTTATATTCTTAGGTCCCGTTTGTTCATGAGTTTTGCCAAAATAAATTTGGGATTTATTTTCAAAACTCATGTTTGGCCATAAATTTTGCCTACATTTTGATAAAATCCCAAATCCCAAAATCACCCCAATTGCTGATTTTAGGCCAAAATCCCAAAACTTGGAAATTATATACATGTTTTTTCAAAATAAAGTTGGAAAATATGTTTTGAAAACACATGTCCAAACACATTTTCATCTTCAAACCAAACTTCACCTAAATCAAATTTTTCAAAACAAATTTGAAATCTTTGACCAAACGCTAACTTAATCAAAGGTTGTAGTTTCGAACTTTACGAATAGAGAAACTCTTATTAAGGAACGCTTCTTCTTTTTAATAAGCTTTGTGTGATGTAAATTGAAATTAATCGAACTAGTTAAATTCGAATATAAAAAGGCAATTAAAAAAGGAAAAAAAGAAATATGACAAATAGGGAAAGCTAGAATATGATAAAGGAACCATCAAAGGATGCCTTTGTGGTGCAGTAGATGTGACTGTTCCTCTTTTAATCAGAGTCTCGAGTTCGAGCCTTAGGTATGTAAAAATACTTGTTAGGGAGCACTTTCGCCCGAACGGGGCCCTACGCGGCACGAATCCGGATATAGTCGGGTTTTAATGCGAATACCGAATATGGAACAAGAAAAAGGGAAAAGAATATGATGGAGGAAGAGAGAGTAGGGAGTGTAGGACCATAGAAGAAGGTGCCCCAGCTGCCCAAAGCTGACCTGCCACTACTTCCCATTGCTAAAAATAAAGAGAGTATAAAGCCGTTAAGGAGAGAAATCCATTTGTTTTTCACAGTGCAATTAAAAACGATGATGATTGAGTCACTTGCTCCTTCTCCTTCTATTTCTACTGTTATGTTATGCTCTGTTTTTCTCTCTCTCCATCATTTCTCACCAATTCCAATCACAATTCTTCAAAATCAAATCCAATTTCCTTTCTTTTACTGTTCCACTTCTTAGGATCCGCCATGAATGCTTATTAGCCTCAGTTATTATTATTTTTTTCTCACTTTTTTAACTTGTCGTGCTCTTCTTTGTATGATGATGACCCAGCTTCTTCACCTTTTTACCCCACCCACCCCCTCTTCTTCTCCTTCTTACTCTGTTCTCTTGTACAGCTGATCCACCCTCCCCCATTTAAAAACCCCACCTTGACCCTCCTTCTACCTTTTGACCTACTAATCTCTCTCTTTTTTAGTTCTAGGGTTTCCTTTTTCTTCTTGATCCTTTGTTTTCTCTTCCTCTCCTCCTCTTTAGCTCTCGCTTCAAACCACCCTTGTCTTGTTTTTGTATATTCCTGTAGATTTTCACTATCTTTTCTGCCAATTTTTAGGGGGTTATTTTCTGTTTATAATGAGGTGGGGTTTTTACTTGATCAATTTTTGTATAACGTGAATAGCTTCTTGTTTCTGGTCTAAAAGTAATATTTCCTTAGTTCTTCTTTCTTCGTTTTTCCAATAAAATTTGGGTTTATGGCTTATCAACAACAGCAGGGAGCAGTTGGGGGTTCAGGTTCGGCTCCATTTTATAATTCTCCATTTGGGGACACCACTTTTACTAAGGTCTTTGTTGGAGGCCTTGCTTGGGAAACTCAGAGTGAAACCCTCAGGCGATACTTTGAGCAGTTTGGTGATATCCTTGAGGCTGTTGTCATCACTGATAAAAATACTGCCCGATCCAAAGGCTATGGCTTTGTCAGTCTCCTTTTGTTTGCTTTACTTTTCTCCTTTAATGTTTTATATTTGTTTACTGAATTTGAAAAAGATTACAATTTTTTTTACTATCTTTTGCTTTCTCTTTCTTTTTACGGATAAAAAAATGGTCCATTTTGCTAAATCATTTTAATTGCCTGCTATAACTGAATGACATAGTTTCTGCAATGGTATTTCTATGGAGGGTTTAGGTGACTTTCCGGGACCCAGAGTCCGCGAGGAGAGCGTGTGCTGATCCTGCTCCAATTATCGATGGGAGGCGAGCAAATTGTAATTTGGCTTCGTTAGGGCGACCTCGGCCTACTGTGCCATTTGGTATTGTAGCTTATTTTGGTTGAATGCTCTGCTCTATTCTATAATATCATAGTTGTTCCATCGAGTTTCTTTTGCACATCTAGGCACTCTGATGACCTCACTAATAATGTCAAGTGTTGCTGGATGACTTGTTCTTCCATCGCTTTCAATTGTATTTAGCTTGTGGATTGTTTTTCTATTTGTTTATATTTCTTCTTGTTAAAATTGCATGCACTCCCAGCTTATATAAGAAAATGTATGATCCATCTTAAGCTATCATATGGTGGAGATATTGTTTGAGATGAAGAAATGGAAAATTGAGGGATAAATTGTCACACAAGTAAAAAGAATTTGAGAAAGATAAGCCTTAGGATTGATACTCAGTGGTGTAATAAAGATAGTAGGAGGAGTGATAAGAAGCTAGTACTGGAAAATGGAGATGAAGTTTTGTATTTTGATAATCTTTTCATTGAACTGAAATGATCGGGTTGACTAGACGATTGAGCATGATGAAGTGCATGTGATTAGTAACCGTGCTTCAGAACACTCTTTAGTCTTTTCTCCTGTACTAACAAGAAATTATCCCTTATGACAAAGCGATGCAATGAACTTAGGCCCATTGAACAACTCCCTTGTTTGCTGAAATGAAATGCCTGCTTTTTGTAACATAACAGGTGCAATACGTTTAGAAAAATTCTTTAATTCTTTGCAAATTCCCTATACCTATCTACCTCCTCGGTGATGACGAGATTTGCTCTTCGAATCCTCCAAAATTGATTGATAAAAAAGATACACCACTAGCAAGCTTAGTCAATTACTTATCTGGCCTTTTGCATAATCGACGTGGACAGCTGTTTCCTTGGCTTCTCTCTAACACATTGATAATCTTCGAAATTAGGGGAGCTGCAAAGTTCCCTCAATGGCTTTTTATATGAGTAATTGTGAAGCTGCCTGAAACTTTTTACAAAAACATCAATAAGGATCATCTCTTTTAAAAGGATCCTGTGAAAGGTGATTTTCATGGCAGGTTATGTGTTTGACAGAGATCTAATACCACAACCTGATCAGCTTCAAATAAATGATAGATAACCATTATTATCTTTTATGTCACATCCGACCCTGAAAAAGGGAAGAAACCAAAAAGAAAAAAACGCTCATTCTTTCAAGTGCATTAGCTTATTTCCACATTATTGGGTACAGGACGTCCGAGGTCATCAACTCCATTTCCATCAGGTTTACCAGCTGCTCGGGGTGCTTATGTTGGAAGCTTTGGCTACCAGCAACCGGTTTCTTATGGCTACCAGCAAGGCTTGATGTATTCTCCCTATGGGTAAGCTGTGTGTCGAAGGCATGCCTACAGGTCTCCACAATTCACATATAAATTTGGAAGAAAATGACTAATTAGACTATGCAAGATTCATTTGCACTATACCCTTCTACTGGAATGTAGACCTTTCCTGAATCATTTGAATTTTAAATGTCATAATCACATAATTTCTTTCATGCTGTAGTCGGATTACAGATTCCATTCTAATGGTCATGGCTATGATTCATAAGTTAGTCAGAATTTTGGCTGCAGCCAACTTGTGACAATTTTCTCAAATCTTAATCTGGTGAACTGTGTGATATATAATAATTAGTGTGCCTGAGAATAATAAGATAGTTATTAATTAAATTATTACATATAAATATTTTGGAGTATAGAATCTTAAATTATATTAGCTCGTTATTCTTGCTTGTAAACTACAAGCTAGTGCATCGTTTACCTTCATATTGCATGTTTTCAGATGCACATTAGCCTGCCCGTGGCCATTAAAAATTGTGTTCAAATGTGACTGCTTTTGCTGTTAAATGATCGCATATTTCTGGGCCTCCAATTGCACAAAAATTAGGAGCCTATTATATTTATAAATGTTTCAGTATTGACATGTTATTTTTATTTTATTTTAAGTTACCCAAAAGAATTATTACCATTTGGAAGTAAACTTATGGAAATGTATTAGCTAGGATGCCTGAATTATCCCATTTTATAGTAGAATCATAGGGGGGAAAACATCAAGATAATTGGCTGTAGGAGAAAAGAAATTCAGTAAATTAACTTATGTGCATACTGTTTTTGTGTAAGGCAACAATATCATAAATCATTAGCACAAAGAGAGATTGCGTTCTTTTTTGAATTTCACGAGTTTCTTACGCGCATGCAGAACAAATGGTTTCACTCGTTTTACTGAGAAAGAGCACTAGATTTCACCTTTTTTTCTTAGAAAGAACCTCTTACTTATTCATAATTAAAAATTAGTTCATTCACTTGATGGACCTTAGACCTTTATCTTGATTAGTCATTTGTTAGTACATTTCATCACATGGAGTTTGGACTCATTTATATTTGTGAATTACATTTAAAATCGCAGCTCTTAGAAAGCATAGTTAGCTCTATATTATTTATTAATGCAGGTATGCAACATATGGTGCGGATTATGTTTACCCTCAGGTTAGTAGCACTGCATAAATGGAGACATTACAGTTTATCCCTTTCTTTCTTCTGCAGTAAAAAGGTTCAAGTGCAATTTTGTCTTGACAGTGTGAGACTCAATTTTGATGCGTACTGTAATTTTATCCGATAGGGTGTTTACAATCCTTATGGAGGTCAACAGTACCTTCCTATATATGGTGTACCTGGAAGTGTTAACACAACAATGTATCCTTACGGCCAGCTAAGTCAGGCTGTTCCTGGAAGTCACAGTTATACAACATTGCAGGGTTATGCAGTGCCAGGTCATCAGATTCTTCAGTTTGGTGGGCCCAGTGTCAATGCAATGACAGCTTCATCCATTCCAACTATTCAAGCACCATACCCAACAGGCACATCTCTTTTGTTTGTATCTTATATATATGCATGCATTGTAGCCTTGCATATCTTTGACGTTAATCTGTATTCCAGATGTATCAACATCTAGGAAACATGCTTTAACCTCATCTATTTCTGTAGCTTGACCTAAAGTTGGCAGTATCATAAAGCAACCATTTTTTGTTTTTAGGTGTCGGAGCGCCTGTTACTCCACAGCCACAGTTTATACTACCTACTCATTCTCCTCAATTTATGCAAGGTAGCGGTTCTGACCAAAATGCAGGGTGATATTTTATCAAGGTAAAAGGTGATTCAGACCCAACAGAGTGTTAATATATTTAGTTACCTTATTAGTATAGGGATTGATTATCTACCATATTATGCATAGCTTAAGATTCCTGTAAGGAGCACCTCTTGTACAATGTTAATCAAATTAATGAGAAGTCTTTTTATATTTTCACACACTGTATGTATTTGCTTCTTGCAAGTTGCAACCAAAATTTTCCTGCTGATGTTTGTGTTCTACTTTTGACCTTTAGGTAATCCTAGATTGCAGCAGGACTAAAAGAAGCAGTACTGCTACTTGAGAGGCGGGCTTTCAATCTAACCTTGCAAATTGTTCACTTTGCATTCTAGAGGTACTGGATTTTGCTTTTGGCTTAACTTTGTTGTTTCCTTTAAATTCTCTCTCTCTCTCTCTCTCTCACACACACACACACACACAGAGAGAGAGAGAGAGAGAGAGCTGCCTCTCCCTCTTTGTCATCTATTATGGGTTTGTTTTTTGGTGTTTGGGGGTGGGGGTGGGGTGAGGTCAGTTGCATTTATGAGGAAACGATGAGGATCAAAACAGAAAGCAGGCCAATTAGAATGACACAGAGGAGGTAGTGTGTTTCCCACAGCTTGAAGTAGTTCGGGCTTGGGGTTTCTCCTCTATGCAAGAGACCGTATATTAAAATCATTATATGGTTTCACCTATCCCTAAAAAAGAAAGATAGCATATTATAGGGCTTCTTTCTTTTTTGGGGAAACTTCTGTCGTATTAAAAAAAATACTAGATTTGGGCTGAAATGTACCTATTGTGTGTACAAGAACTCCCAAGGATGTTGGTTTTCAATTTTCAGTAAATGCTTGATGATGATGTTTTTCCAAAAATTATTTGCAACCTCCTCTGCCTGGCAGGTATAATTACACATCAGTTGGAGCTGACATATTTTTATTACCTCATTTTCATCGTTGTCTTCCTCCTCTTGCTACGCGTATTATATTGTGTTCTTGAAGTGGTTGATAGTAGGAAAAATGTCATTGCTTTTAACTCTCTTTGTTACGTTTGAAGATGTAAAGTCTATCATGATAGTTCAATATACTTCTTTTTTTTTTTCTTCGTTTGGTGCAGTTTAAATTTGCATCAAATATTTGGTTATGTTTATAGGTCCGTTCTTTGGCAGGCAGTCATGTTTCAGTGCCATTTGCATGCTATCAGTATGAATTGAAACTGCTGAGGGAAACTAACAAACTCTGAAAATTAATCTACTAATTCTATATGCAGCCAAAAGAAAAAGAAAATAAAAGAAAGCTGTGTATGTAAATACTGGAAGTTGTTTGATCTGCAGTAAGTTTATGTTTCTCCTAGGTAACTCATGTCCAAAACTGTTTGCTTGTTCAACTCAACTGTCTTTAGTCTTAATGCTATTTGCCTTGATGCAGGTTATAAAAAAGTCAAAGTCAATACTCACCATGAGAGCTCAATGTCTGAGTCGCTCCTGATGATTGAGTGAGGAAACATGGAAGTTGCGGATTGCACTTCCTTCAACATCATCATCTTATTGTACTTGCATTCTGCCGGTGTTGGGATAACTGGCAGAGAGTCATTCGACGTCATGCATTTGAGGGATGCTGGAATAGGTTTCTGGCTCCCTCCCTGTAGCAATAAATAAACACTGTAAAAATTCACATCAGAATCAACATATGATTCTTTCATAGTCAAAACTCCCCAGCATGTTTGGGTGTGTAGATAGTCTTGAGTGTTGGTGCATCATACGCACTGTGTTTAAAAGTATTCTCAAAGTCTTGTGCATAAAACAATCTTTAGTCTTTTAATTGACATTCATTCTGTAATTTGGATTATTTATTGAGAGCTCAGCTCTGAAGTAAGTAGCTTCAGGATCTCAAGAACACGGGAAATATGTTATTGCACTGTTTATTCTGTTTTGTGTGTGTGTGTGTTATCACCATTGATGGTGACATGACCCGCCGACCGCGCTAACGCATCCCATAATTTGGAGCATTTTGGGTGCAAAGCAAGTTTGGCTAAAGAAGGCGACGGGGCACAGCAGACTTTGCAACTGAAGTTTATATTATATGGATCAAAATCATAAGAGAAAAGTTGTCCTCTTGCTGTTTTTGCCTGGGATTCAAACAGAAGTAACTGAATTTCGTTGAAGTTTTGGTCCTAATGATTCAATATGTGCAAGTACTTTTGTTCAACAACAACAACAACAACCCAGTGTAATCCCACAAGTGGGGTCTGGGGAGGGTAATATGTACGCAGATCTTACCTCTACCCCGAGGGGTAGAGAGGCTGTTTCCAGGAGACTCTCGGCTCAAGAAGGCAACAAGAGACACTATATTAGTACTATCAATAGACTCATAATAAAATAACATAAAATATCATAAAATCCATAACATAACATAAATACCATAAAATAACAAAATAACAGCAATATAAGAGATATAGGAAATACGAGAAAGATGTAAGATATATTAATAAACAGCAGATAAAGCCCATCATCAGTAGCTGATCAATAGCACCCTAAGACTAATTCCTATCTGGCTAGTCTCACTCTAGTGCGCTGTAGGAAAAAAAAAATGAACTAGCACGGGCCCAACATTACGATGATTAAATTTTTAGTTGGCTATTACACTACCGCTGTACATCAGTGACATCAAATTGAGTTCATATCAAAATGCTTGAAACAAAAAACTTTGGACAGCAGATGCCACTCTGCAAATAAAACTTGGTACTCCCAACGATTCATGCGAGAACTCATCTAGCACCTAACAACCTTCACACTTATGTAATGGAAGTTACCAAAAAAATGATTTTTTTTACATGTGAAGAAATACACCATAAGAAAAAAACATCTATGTACATCATTGTCCTTAATAGGATACTTTTTCTACAATGTGTAAATACATTGTCTAGTAGAATCCTTTTCAGAAGTAAATAAAATGTTTGTATCTTCGAACACTTTTTCTATTATGCATTTTTTATGGTACTAATATATCGGCTCCCGTTGCTTTTTTTTGAGCCGAGGGTCTCCTGGAAACATCCTCTCTACCCTTCAGGGTAGAGGTAAGGTCTGCGTACATATTACTCTCCCCAGACCCCACTTGTGAGATTATACTGGGTCGTTGTTGTTGTTGTACCTGAGTTGGAGCTATAGCCTCCAACTTGGTAGCCAACCTCAACTATTCCAAAAATGACACCACTGGAAGGTGTTTTAAAGTACCTTCAAAGCCAAGTTAAACACCAACAACAACAACAACCTAGTATAATCCTACTTAGTGGGGTCTGGGGAGGGTAGTGTGTACGCAAACCAGGGTAGTCTGTCGAAGTCGATATACTAAAATCTGTAGTATCTTTGTTGCAGACATTCTTTTCCAAATACTGATAACTTTATTAGAGTAGTATTTACAATTTAGTAGTAGAATATATCTCGATAATTGTGAGTTATATCTAATTTTCACTTTTAACACAATAGATAAACAGTAGCAATACTGTAATAGACCTATACGTGGAAGAAGTGAGTTAGGTTCTGAAAATTCTGAGCTTTGGCATATAAGAGCCTCAATCTGCTAAAAGTATCTACAGTTAGTTAATTTAATTAATATAAAGTATGTGTCCAGAAATACTTGCATTACATGCAACCATACAATATGAACACCATAGGCTCCATTTGAGTGCATATACATCCAGCTAATCAGAACATCAAAAGAATATTCAATTTACCTGCTGACAAAGAGGAGTAAGCATGGAGGACAGAACTTTGAGCAGTTTCACAACCCCAATGAAAAGATAACTTGCCCTTCGACTCACATTGCTATTCCAGTGATGTATACCTCTTTCATCAAGAAAGTTGCTCAAAACCAAGGGAATGCATTGTGTATTCTCCTGAAAATTTTCATATACCTTGTTACTATTTCCAAGTAGGCAAGTGCAACAAGCTTGTTGGTGTGGCAAGGGAACTTTGCCGACAAAAGCATTGGTATCAGTTCTCCCAAGAGACCACAACAACAACAACAACCCAGTATAATCCCACTTAGTCGGGTCTGGGGAGGGTAGTGTGTACGCAGACCTTACCCCTACCCTGAGGTAGAGAGGCTGTTTCCAAATAGACCCCCGGCATCCTTCCCTCCAAGAACTTCCCACCTTGCTCTTGAGGAGCGCGAACTCACAACCTCTTAGTTGGAAGTGGAGGTTGCTTACCATCAGAGCAACCCCTCTTGTCTAGTTCTCCCAAGAGACCATTTCCTATATAAAAACCCAGAGGATTAATTTATTAAACACGACAAACGAAATGAGATACTTGTTGGATCATCACAAACGCAAAGGAGAAGACTGATGAACAGAAAAACGATCAAGCTAGAAGGGAATAAAACTGATGAAAGAAAGAAAAAGAAAAGCAATATGAGAATAAAGGGAAGCGTAAAGAAATATAGAACAATGACGAAAGCAATTGATATTGATACAATTTTCTAGCTTACCTTGGTTAATAGAGTTTACCTTGTGAAAGAGCCAGCAAGAACTCGTAAAAAAAGACCCAAAAAGATGGACGAGACGATCTTTATTTCAACATAAATTACTCACACGAGAAAAAAAAGGAGAGGAGAAGAATCTCACAACTTCAGATCCACCTTCTTAAGACCGATGAAACGATATAAATGCTTATAAGAGTTTAGATGATTAATGTATAAGGTGGAAAAGTAAGAAATCTACTATTGAGTGCCTCTCATATTAGCGTCAATAGTTTTGCATCTCTAGAAACATAACGTAACTCACCCAGCCACTCACTACGTACAACTATGTTGTTTTATCTTTTCATGACCTTTTATTTGAATAGAAAGTCACTTAAATAGGAATTTAATTCCACATCATTAGTTGAAAAGCTAAAATGATATTGCTTTCTAAAAAGCTTGCCAATCTTTTTCAAAAGAATGCCATTAAACTTGTGACACAACTTCTATAACACACTTAGAGAAATCTAGCCAATCAAACTCCTTTTCTAGACTTATAGCCTGTTTGACCAAAAATTGAGGTGTTTGGCCAAGTTTTTGGAAAGAAAAAAAGTGTTTTTGAGGAGAAGTAGAAGCAGTTTTGGAGAAGCAGAAAAAAGTAGTTTCTCTCCAAAAGCACTTTTTTGAGAAGCACTTTTGAGAAAAATACACTTAGAATTAGTTTTTTAAAGCTTGGTCAAACACTAATTGATGCTCAGAAGTGATTTTCAAATTAATTAGCCAAACACAAACTGCTTCTCACCAAAAGTACTTTTGATAAAAACACTTCTCAAAATAAGCTGATTTTTGCAGCCTGGCCATATGAGCTATTAATTAGGAGGGACAATAATACCGTTGAACCTGTGAATTAGGATCGGCATCATATAAGTATGTGTTGCTTCTTTCTTTAAGAAGCAAATGACTGAAAAAGGAAAATCAGAGACATGTAAGCTACCTGATAACCATTTATTAGCTGCAACCACATATGGGACTTTCTCAGGCTAATCATTATTAATTTGAATAAATATCTTGGATTTGTTTGAATAAAAGAAACATCTTTAAACAGAAATTCATAATCCCAGAACTACATTAAATCCGTCCCCCATCCTCAAATGAAATGAGAGTAAAAAGAAAACGAATCAACCTAAGTATTTGGAAGAACAAAGAGATAATTGAATGATAATCCCGCCTCGGTCATCTACATCAGCAAAGCATTTGCAGAAAAGTCAGATAAACCAAAATTAAATCAAGAGTCCAGAAGCTGGAAAAAAAAAAATATCTTCAGGCTGAGGCGCGGATATCTCGCTCTTTTAAGGAGATTCAAGCCCACTGCAGCAAAGTCTTCACTGGTCCAGCAGTAATCCTCTTGACTTGTCTTCCCCAGGATACTGCCTCATCACGTCGTATGACTCGAACAAACTCTGGACAAATTGTTGAATCCAAAGCTCCACCAAGATGAACACCTTCCTTCAACAAAAGTAAAAACTCTCTTCTAACTTTAACCTCACTTCATTGAAACACTCTCAATTATTTTTCACACCACATTATGGAAGAAAGACTCATATTTATAGGTGTGGGAATTCTTCCTTGAATTAAATTAGAAGAAAGTGGGGTAATAAGTTATGAAATCATGGAAAATATGGAATAATTACTATGTAATTAATGGTAGAACATGAGAGAAGAGTTACAAAAGAGTTATAGCCATTTTCTACATCATGGAATAGTGACAGTTATGGGAGTTATGGTCATTTTCAACATTATGGAGTAGTGAAAGTTATGACATATTTTATTTTAATATTAAAATGCTAAAATACTAACATTTCCCCACTCATTTTAATATTAAAATATATAAGAGAGTTTATCAGTTGAATTGAAGGGAGACTATTATACATAACGAAGGTATGCTCTACATTGAACCTCCACTTAGCAAAACAACGATCGTTACTCCAGAGTCAGTAGTGGTATCAGACTTGAACTATGACTGCTTTAGGGAAATAAATTATCACTGCTTACACATAATAATCAAGGTGTTGACATGAGTTTATTAGCCAGCACATTACGGCCTTGTGCTATCCCGGTTGTCGTGAGTGTTTTTGAGAACAAGCAATTCTCATAAGAAGCGGTCTACTTCCACGCTTACATAGGTGAAATCTGTCAAGGGTGCTCCTGTAACTCTAACACCCCACTCATACGAGCTACAAATTTTTATTAAGAGTTAATAAAACTCAACCTCGCAAATCATTACAGGATAAATGCACTCACACCATAGAGATGAAACAATAATAAAAATAGTGCATTTCAAACCAAGCCATCATATGATTCATTCTTCCCATTGAACTGGTTATAAGATCTCTAGTCCCCAGGTTGGGTTTCCTCATATATGACTTATGAGCTTGTGGGCTTCAATCCCCCCCCCCCCCCCCCG